ATATTGGGCCAAAAAATAATTGTTGGATCATAAGTGTTGGGCCTATTTGTTTCCTTTTTTGGGCACGACTTATATAGTACATTAAAAATATTTTTAAAAAGAAAAAAATTAATTAATGTATCTTTTTTAAGTAAAATGAGGAAATAAGCATTTATTTTTTCTATTACCAAAATAAATACGTATTTTATTTTTTCAACCCCCCTTTTTTTTGCCATAAAAAAAACTATTCATTACTTTTTCAACCTTGAGTTTGGCCCTGTTTGTGAAAAAAAAAAATACTTTAGTCCTAAAATAGAAATCAATCCAAATAAATTTACTTATGATGTTTTAAATATAATAATTTTATAATAAATACAATATTAAATAAGTAAATGCATATTAAATCATACATAACTTTAAATCAAAAAATATTATGATGTGCTACTCTTAATTTTAGAAATTATTAGTAATTAATAATTATGATTTGATCTATTTATAAAAATTTCACCCATTAGATAAGGCTCTATAACCCAAACCATTTTTTATTTTTCAAATTACACTGCTATAAATAGAAAAACTCACTTTTGCTAAAGTCAAAAAGAATTAAAATTGATTTATGTGAGGAAGCTTGCCACCCTACTCCAAGGATCAACTTTTGATAAAGTTAACCTCCATGTAATTTGCAAGCTCAAGAGTTGGAGGAAGTGGAAAATTGGATTGTACTCTGGCTTCCCAAGTTTGTTGATTAAGGTGCAATAGTCCATGGGCTTCATAGTAATAATAATAATAATAACAATAATAATAGTTAGAGGAACATCATAAGTTAAATTAATATCATTTTAGTCTTTATATTTTATTTTGGGATACATATAGTTTTGTCATTCATATATTCATTTTCGTTCACATTTTACGCAATTCAAAATAGTATCTCATACTTCAATTAAAAGAAGATATTATTATTGAACCACTTAAATAAGTGGCAGTATCATAGTTAATTAGTTATTATTAATTATTAAGTTGTAATTAGTAATAAGTTAAAAATAAAAATAATAAAAGAAATTGAAAAAAATATAATATAGTTAACATATAACATTAAAATCAATTTTTAGAAAAGAAAAATGGCAAGTTAACCTATGTGTTAGCTTTAACTCACATGGCAGACTCCTATGCTTGACAATATTCTAGTAATTGGTATAACAAATGAGATTATAACACAAAATGACTGACTCAATCTAATCCAACCCACTTTATGCAATAGGGAGGAAGTAGGTAAATGGATTTGTTTATATTTATACTAGACTTCAATATTTATGGTTTAAAATTTTTGACCCTTTGTAATCCCACGCTTCGGTCTAATGATTTTGATTTTGGATTAATGTGGATTATTTTCTGTAGATTGCGTATTTAAGCTCCATGTATCTCTTTCTCCAATCCCCATTTACTTAATATGTGTTAATTTTCTTCCATTCAAAAAAAAAAAAAAATAC